GAGGAATGTATTTGACCTACTGTGTGATAGAAAAGTATCACTTAAAGGAAAATTTCATAATATGGTCGTGAGACATGCAGTGCTTTATGGTGCAAAATGTTGGCTGATAAATGAGAAGCAAAAAATTAAGTGTTGATGAGAAGAGAATGCTAAAGTGGATGAGTAGCTTTACAAGAGACAAAACACGAAATGATATATCCATGAAATGGTTAAAGTAGCTCAAGTGGCAAACAAGATTAGAGAGTAACTTTAGATGGTTTGGTCACATTTAACATTGACCATCTTATGACCCAGTTAGGAGAATAGTTGTTTTAGATATGACTTGTATTAAGAAAGGTAGAGGCGGGCCTAAAAAGCTTAGGCGTATTGTAAAAGTATTAACCTAATTTATTAGAATTAAATTAAATATGACACTCAATAGAACACAATGAAAAAAAAAATTCAAGTAGTCGGCCCCACTTAATGGGATAAAGGCTTGTTTTTGTTGTTTTTGATGATGTGCTTTGACATATGTGCTCTATATTAGAACTTAATGTTAAAGAATGTTGCAAAACTATAAAAGATTGAAATCAAATTTACCTCACTCCAATAAGCTAGCATACAATTTAAAAAGAGAGTAATCTTTTTTTTTTTGGAAAATTCACAAACACTTGAATATAAATTTGAACCTCATATCATATTATCTTTTCAAGTGAACCAACCTGCCTTCTAAGACGGCTATAAGTCCCACTTAGCAAGACTTATACGCCATGTCATAAAAATTGCAGTAAAAAAAATTACTTCAAAAAATGATTTAAATTCTCCTCTCAAGATGAAATACAAAAATCTCATCATTTTGAACCAAGAATTAGATACTTGACCATCACTAAAATATTGTCTTCCATCAGTATTCGACCTTCAATATCTATTACCAAAAAAAAGAATAAAGAAGCTTTCAAAGTAAAAACTCTTGGTACCATGCCTATAAAGTATAATAATAAGTTCTAACATTTAAAGCATAATCCCCTACATACAACATATGAGGGTAGAGTTAATATACTCCCTAATAAATATCCAACTAAGCAAATTTTACGCAATCCTCCACATGAAAGCAATTAGATATGGCAAGGACCAATGCAACAAAGTTCTCTCTAAAAGTAAATACCCTTAAGAAAGATGATCATTGCACATCACAATCAAAGTTCTCTCTGAAAATAAAGATTTCAATTAAAAATAAAAAAGCTTCAAGTAATGCATCCCAACAATGGTCGCATTGCCAAAAAAATTTAATCAAATGGGATCGTACTTTCACATTGCCCTAAAAATCCCCAATTAAATCATTTCAATCTTACTTTTCAATAAAACCATGAAAGTCTAGAAAAATTATGAAATATAAAACTATCTAAGCGAATTCTACCACTTTAATTAAGAGTACACAGCCCTTCCAATCCATATTAGTTTACCAACAGTGACAAATTTAAGATTAAAATAAGTTTACAAATAGCCAATGTCATATTGGACATATTTTTATGACCACTCACAAAATTCTTGTGCAAGAATGGGGCCCATCTTTTTTGACTAAATAATTTTACTGCCAAATAATCAAATAAAAATGTAAAATTATGACTAGGGCTCTCCAAATAGATGCCTCATTAAAAAATAACACTATTAAATTATAGATATAATCAAGAGCTCAGAAACTCCTCAATACTCTAAATCCCATGAATGATAAATCATAAAAGTGCATTTGACAAAGCACAAAACTCTCAGTTAGCTAAGATTGGCATAATTCTCTTAGACGCACATTTATCTCATGTCTATGATGTCCCTTTTATTGATGCATCCCATGACTATTAATAAGATTTTTTTTTATACTGGATCGACTACCTTCACTATGTAGAATAGGGTCCATGATAAATCGAGACGAAAAAAGAATGATATATTGATTGGGTTTATCACCATTACATCCACCATCCACATTAAGCTAAAGAAGATATATTTTATATAATCCTAAAACCAAAATTATTGCTATTTTAAGCTGAGCAATTGGCGCCTATCAATGAGGCTTGATTGAAACTTCCTAAACACAAGTCCAAATAATCTAAAATCATCTCTATTAAATAGTTAACATCTCAAACCTTTAATCAGGACGTTCTCACCCTTTTTCATCAAAAAGATCTAATCAAGTGTCATAAGAAAGTTTCAATCATAAATATATCAAAAATATCTACGCTAATCAACAATTTTCTAAGTTTGTTATTACTCTTAACAATCCTTGAAACCTTTTAAAAATATCCCCATAAAAAGCCTTTTAAAAACTAGGTTTACTCGTATGTTTCACTAATAAAAAAAAGTTCAATATATTGAAGATATCATCAATTACCCATGTATTTAATTCCAAGTCATCAGAAACCCTCAAACTTTGAAATTGTCATTATCTTCTTATGCAATTAGGGACATCCATTATAAAGATTTTGATGCATTTGATAAATAACCAAATGATCTCATAAATTCTTGAAATCAAGCATGACCCTAGTTTTAAAGATGCTATAGGAAAAGGATGGCTTTGATCTTGGAAATGATTGCCATCCAAGTTTAATTAAGTGGATAGAACTCAAATAATAGAAAAAGCATGATAGCTTCAAACATGGCTACAATAATGTAATATCAATCGATCAAAAATAAAAAAATAGGTCAAATCATTCAAACATCAAGAGAAATTGGAATAAGATTTAATCCTAGAATCTCGATTACAATCATAGAATATCTACATCATTTTATATTCATTTTAAAATTCTTCAAATAAAAAAAAAATCATTATCAGAGCCTGATTGAAGAAATATTCATAACTCAAACAATCCGATTTTACAACCTCAGTATAAGGGGAATATTTCTTCTACCCAACTGAAATATATTTTGGTTTTCATGGATTTCAATTCAAACAGTAGAACAAGAAATCTTGCGAATCAAGAATTCCAACTAACGTAAACTTATGTAAATGGAAAGTTAAAACATATATGCCAACTCAACATTTCAAATATAAAAAGATATATTTTGAGCAAATGCTTTACCGAACTTGCCACAACAAGCTTATTAATCCTTCAGTGACTTGGTTTATATCCAAATATAGCTCCCAAATAAAACAGCACCTTAGTGGAAAATCGCTATAAGGAATGTAAAAGCTTTCACTTATCCTCCAATTGATTATCTCTTATTAGAGGGATACCAAGCAAGAGCAGTTATTCTAACAATTGATGAAATCCAATCACCAAAAAATTTTCGTGTTAAAGATGGAAATCAGTGAGTTTATCATAAATCTAATAATTGCTTGATTTGACTGACAAAAAATGACAATCTGTATGCATTGCACTAAAAACTTGCTAAATTATGCATCAAAAAGTTAATCTTCACTATAAAAATTTCCCATTAACGCTTAAAATCATCTACTCAATCTCCCTTCATTTGAACATATGGTGCCAGACACAAAGTTGACAAGGAGGGCGTCAAGATGATAATGTGACAGTCATTTTAAGCGGTATCTTATTTTCAGAGATAGACATGAAGGATGGAAAGCTCATGGGATCAAGGCCTTGGGTGTTAATTGGTTAGCCTGCAGCCTGCAGGTTGGTAGGATTATGGGTAGGGCTGTCAAAAAAGCTCGTTGTTCGCGAACAGTTCGTGTTCGGTTCGTCAATGAGTTTGTGTTTGATTCGTTCGATAAGTAAACGAGACAAACGCGAACAAATTTTTTTCGTTCGGTTAGTTAAACGAACCAAACACGAACAGTGATGCGTTCGTTCGTGTTCGAATCGTTATTGTTTGAAATATAAAATAATATAAAATAATTATATATAAAAAATTTATTATATTTTAAAACATTAAATTTTATAAATTATAATATATAATAAAATAATAATAATAATATATTAATATATTTATATAATATAAGTTATATAATTAATATATAATATTATTTTTATATATTAATATTAGGGATGTCAAACTGGCTTGCCGTTCCCGAACAGCTCGCGTTCGGTTCGTGTTCGGCTCGTTCGTTAAGAAACGAACACGAGCTTATTTCAAACAAACTAAATTTTAAACGAACCGAACACGAACACAAGCTTTGTTCGTTCGTGTTCGGTTCGTTTACACCCCTAATTATGGGTCCAGGGGAAGACATTGAGAGCAAGTTTAAGGGGATTGAGGTAGTTGGAGGAGGAGAAACTGGCAAAGAAGAAGTCTCATAATGGAGGTTACAGCTGCAGGAGATGGGAGAGTCCAAGGTGGAGAAGAGATGGGAAGATAGATGGTAGATGAAGAAAACAATTGTGGGGTGACAAATGACGTGGGCCACAAAAGTTTTGTCGGGGCCAAGGTTGCCATATCAAGGGTGAGGACAACAGGGTAGGCAAGGAGATTAAGACCATCAGGGATCAGAGAGAGGTTGCCACCATAGAAGTGGCTAGAATAGGAAGTAGGAGTGGGCATGGTGGAAAAATTATAAGTAGAACAGGAGAGAGGAGGCATAAAAAGGTCTTGAAAACAATGCAAAACGGGAGGGGCCATCTTGCTATGAACGGGGGGGGGGGGGGTGGCAGCGAAAGAAAAGAAGGTGATTTATGTTGTTTATCTCAACTATTAAAGACTTTACTATTAATAATTTCCTTCACGTTTCTCTCTCATTTCTGTAATAGTCATTACATAACTAGAATTTTAAGGAGACAACGAGTAGATGACATCAAGTGTTAATGGGGGATGGTGTATTTGATGTGCTTTAAATATTTTAATGGCAGATTAGTAAGAGATTAGGTGTTATCTATGCAATATGGAAAGTTTTGAGTTTCATGTGTGTAAATTCCCCAAAATAAAATTAATAGGAGAATTAGTCATTCATCTTTTAAAAGAGAAAAATCCAGCTCAGATATACATATATGTGAAATAGTAAAGGACAATAATTGATGTCACAGCATACATAAAAGTAGAACCAAAAAGTGTGGACCGATATATTCAGGGTACATTACCAGCTGTTGTGCAAATATATTCAATTGATGATGTAAGAGGATCCCATCCCTGCAAGTTAGAAGGCATAAAATTAAGCATAAAGAGAGAATGTAGAGGTTGCATTATATGATATGAAGGCATTAAGGTAAATAGATTTGTAGAAGTTATGCTACTCATCTAATCGACCCAACCAAAAATACATTCTCATAAGAAGTCTGTTTGTATCAAACAGAAGACTACTAAAAAATCAACCTTTGAACAACTTCTCCAATTTTCTAATGGGAACATTGAGTTTAGATGCTTAATGTTAGAATATAGCTTATTTACACAAAAAAAATAGCTTTTTTCTAATATTTTGCTCAAAGCTTCAATTCTTTGATGCAAAGGACAACCAAGAAATCACTTGAGGCTGCTGAACTATCCTCAGAACCAATGACAAATTGTTTTCAAGATAAAGTGCATACTTCACAACTTTAACTAGTAGGGATGTAAACAATGCTAGTCAAACTTGAATGAAGGAATACTCCAGCTGTACTCAAGTTTAGCCCAACCCCAAGCATTTAGATCGACTCTGAACTTATCAACCAGCTTACAAGAGCTTATCGAGTTGGGGATGACTCGATCAAGATTAAACAGTCTTGGCGCAAGCTCGTGCTCATGTTTAGCTCAACTCCATGCATTGAGCTCAATGCTTGATCTATCTAAGAACTTGGTTGAACTCATCAAGATACGTCATAAATTTTGCAGGGAGGGTAAAGAAGACGGTAACTGATGTGTAAGCTTAATACGCAGTTCTGTAAAAGTGGCAGCAACAACATGCATCCAATAGAAGACGCGCATAAATAATGAAAACAGAGTAGATCTAGCAAAAGCAGCGTAAATAAATGGCAATGGCTTAGAATCATTGCAGGCGTTGTAGAAAAGAAAATGTTGTATAGACGGGCATCCATAAATGAGCTGATCCAATAACCGAACAGAAACTCAACTCTAAAAATCCGAGTTTGAGTTGAAGCAATTATTATTAGGCTCAAGCATGTAGACCCAATTAATTTTTTGGGTTGACGCCCGAAAAACACAAAATTATCTTGATTGCTATTTAGATTTGGGTTGGATTAATTGGGATTAAAGAGCCATGCTTATGGTAATTGGATTGTGTTAACCCAAGAAATAAGCATGATCCATAAAACAAATGTTTAGACAAGATGGGGTTGACTAAAGTGAGTTCAAGTTAAGTCAAATTTGAATCAAATATTTTGACACTTATAAATCAGCCGGATTTGGGTAAAAACAAAACCTGACCGATCAACCTGAATTTATACACCCATAGTGTAGACTTGATCAATGAAAATAAATTAAATTTAGTTAAATAGATTTGATGACAATCAATTCATTTTAGTGGAGGAAGATGACATCTTGTAGAAAAAGACGAGTAAACAATAACTTTTGCAAGAGAGCCATAAGAGATGTGAAGGCTCTACATGATTTTAATTAAATTTATATTATAACCATATATGATTCTTATACTTACACAAAAAAAAAATCAGTTGCTTTATTAAATAAGTCAACTCATCGTCAGCAAATCATGGATTGATCACCTTGCCTCTTTCCAATTTTGGTTGCTTGCCAATTAAATGGGTAGATATCATTGTCTATTTTTCTTCTACCACTATTCATCATAATCTACCTTTATGAGTTAGTCCACTGGTTATATCCTTACATGGCTGCAATTCCATTAATTTGTCAATATTCATAATTGATTATTCTAAAGTTGTTTGAATATACTTTACTTAAATGTCAAACAGAAGTCCATGTTTTTTTAAGTTATTTGTCAAAAAAAATGTTCAATCCTCTATGAAAATTGATAATCTATAAATTGCTAAAAATATGGAATTAATTAAATCTCAATTTCAACCGATTTGTTTTAATAATGATATTATTCATCAAATGATCTTGTCTGCGTACATCTTAATCGAATGGTGTTGTTAAATGCAGAAATTGTAATCCACTTGATGTTACTAGGACTCTAATGTTTATATAAATGTTTCCTGTCAATTTCAAGGGAATGCAGTCTTGACTGCTTTCTATTTAGCCGACTATGTTCACTAATTATATACCTCTTAATTTTATTCCTAAACAAAAATATCACATCAAATAGTGATTTAAGCACAACTTTTTTGTTCCATTTTCTGTAGTTTATTTTGGGTCAGTGACGATAGTAAAGAAAGGGATGTAATTTTTCCTAAGCATTTGGCCAGGTCATTTGGTCGGACATAATTTAAGCTCATTAACTTTATGGTAATTTTCAAAGTTAATTGTTCTGATTTGGCAGAAAAAGGGGGCGAATGATTATGTTATTGCTTTTACATGTGTTCTTGGATTCATTTGAAATTGAAGCCATGCAGTGATAGGAAACTTCTTTGGGTGGTAAAATTAGGAATGTTCCTTTAGATAATGGAATTTTGGGCTCATCCCTTCTTGAGAGACGGTTCTGCTTCTTTCTCATGTTTTCTACAAGATCTGTCATGCATCTACTCGCTGTTTCCTAAGCAGCAATTGTAATAATCAATTTTGATCAAATCAGATAAAAGTTGATCAATATTAAAATATAACTTAATTTTTGAATTTCTCGAAATCCAACTGAACTAGTTTTATAAAATTCTACATTTTTCAATAATCAATTTGATATATATCACTATAAGATTATTGATATAAATGGAGATATAAAGACTTAAAATAACACTCAATTAAACTTAATTAATTATAATTAACATAATTAATTCAGTTACTGTGGCATTTAGAGAAATCCACTAATCCAAAAATGCAACCGTTCGTTAATTGTAGGGTGGGGATCCATATTGGGGGTGTTTGGCTGCCTCTTGGATTTAAGTTAAGTAGGTGATGTTAAATCCAAATTTGTGTTTGGTATTATTTAGGTTAAATTCAATTAAATCCATAACAAATGTTTGGCATTTGTTTTTAAGATTTAATAGATGAAGTCATTTTCTTAAATCCACCTCGAGTTCGGATTTAATAAATCACGGATTGTCGTCAAGCTACAGAAACTTTTGGATTTGCCGACGGCGGGATTTAAATTCGCTGAATTCGTGTTTGGCTGGTGTACGTTAAATCCATAGGTAAATCCGCCTGTAAATAGCATACCAAACACTGCCTTAGTGTAATATTAAATTTATGCATATTAGTTAAGCCGTTAACTCCATTTCCCATTCCCGTCGTTGGGTTGTTTTGTGTCAAAGGGGAGGCTGGAGCGATCCCAGGAGCAACAGTAGTGACGGAACATGAAAATTTTGGAGATTTTGGCTTCCGGTTTTGACTTGGGAAGGAGTTTTGGAGTTGGATTAAGATGAGCATACATATATTATGGCCAAATCTTCATTCTATTATTCAACTTTTTCTTTTCTCGTGATTTTCTCAGCCCAGGTAATGAAGCGAGATCAAGTAGGCGGCAGAAAGGAGCTGTAGCTCTCGGTTGGGAGTCCTGTGAAGAAATCTGTAAGCCAAATCCTTCCTTTCATGCAATTTGAAACATTCATTTTCTCTCCCACAATCAGTTTCTGCCATTGCCGTAAACTGAAGCATGCCCACATGGAGGTGGGAAGAACTGACAACTATATATTGGGTAAAACTGGTAAAGAGAAATCTATAGGAGAAGAAGAGAAAATAGAGAAGGAAAAAGAGGAAGGAAAAATGAAGGAAGAGAATTGCTGGAATATAAGAAATAGGAATAGACACACTTGATTCGGGGAATCATATTGAGCTGAGAAATAGCAAGTAGATTATATTTAGGTTAAATTAAGATCTCACTTAAGAAATTCATAGAAACTTCAAGGAAAGTATGATTTCAGGTGGTTTACTCTAGGTGGCGAGATTGAGGAAACTCGTCTCCACTAATTTATATAAAAAAATATTTTGCTAAATTAAGAAAAATATTTTCTGTAAAATTACTATGTGATTTATTGATATGTGACTGTATTTAAAAACAATCTGTATATTTTCAAATACCTGCATATGTTACATAAATGTAAACTTGAGCTGACACTAATGATATTTATGGTTTTACTATTTTTATTGATTCGATGAGCATGTTAATTAAATCATTGCTTGCAAGTATTAGTATACACTTGTATATGCATATGATAAATGATTGTTACAGGAAATATGCTTAAAGGAATGCCACATTTATGATGGGTAGGTTATTACATGAATTTTCTATAGGTACAGATGATAAGGAGCGAAGGGATTTTTTACTCCTAATATTTAGGCAGTGATGGAATTGTTGGTATTAGGAGGGCTATTGATAACTACTATGTTCGGAGAGACTCAACCTTTATCAATAGTTATTTTAGTCGACACGCTTGGTGACGGCCCAATGATATGAAATGAAATGAATGTAGTCAAAGCTTATGCAATTACAATTGACATTCCTAAGATGACAGCTATTTATTATAAAATCATTATAGATATTTTAATGAATAACAATGAATGAAATATATGCTTGTAGCATTTGTTATTCTTTAATGAATTTCATGCCCGTTACTTAAATGTCTCACATGATTTAAGCATGTTTATTTTATGCACTGTTATCAACCATTTGAGCAATGATTTCACATATAACCATGATTATTTCGCTGAACTTGTAGCTTGTTTGTTTATCTTATGAATTTTCTAAAGGGGTAAGGAACATCATGGCGAATAGCCAAGTAAGACATTGTACAGCTTTTGGATTGTATAATTTTTAAAGTTGTACCGACTTCTAGGTACGTGTTTTTATATGTTAAATTTTAGTAACTTGGTAAATGTTTTGGTGATATTATCATGCACACTTCTTAGTAATTGAGAATGCGAATAAATTATGAATTGAACTGAATTGTTCTTGTTGTGACGATTAAGCTAAACTAATTTGTTATTCACCAAGTCCTGACGGGTGCATGTCCTAACTAATGTTGGTGAGAATTTTGTTTGATTGAATCGTCCACCTCTGTAACACCACAGTTGACCCTAAAAAGGGGGTCAGGTGGGGTATGATAGCAATATTGCAACCTTAGATGCAA